AACAACCTGGTAATTCTTCGTTGCTCCCGCTTTTTTGCACTTGGATATTTCTCAATAACTCATGTAGCAGGGCCCTTTATGCGACTAAACGTGTAAGAAATGTAGTTGATTACTAAATGCAGTAGCAATATTTACAGGGCTGGGTATTTTTTTGCTTTCCTGTTGTTGTTTTACGATTCGCACAGAATGTGATTTATGAACAGATGTGCTGTCATGCAAAGAGTGTTTTCGGTTTTCCGTCAGATTATTACTCACGTTGATAGGAAAACATGTTCCTTTGCATTACGCGATCATATGATATTAAATAGTATCACAAGTTATAATTGGCTGGATTATTTCACCTCGACAGTGTCACTCCTTCTCTAGTTGAAAGAAGTTGAAGCGCTGAAGTTGTCCAGAGCCTGCATCCATCAACTCCTGAACTGAAATCAACTTCGTGAAATATAATATCTCATGATGATAATTTCGTGGGGCAACTGATTTTTTTGATCTTTTGTCAGGTTGGGCGGAAAATCTACTCAGAATTTCGATTTAGTCCAGGTGCAGAAAAGATAAATATTGGTATCGTGTTAGGATTGGAATACAATAAAAATAATTCGGCATAAGTACGTTATGATACTTATCAATGAATTGGCGTTTCTCCTTACACGAATCACCTGTATCACCTGTTGTCTCGTTCATCACCGATTTAGTCGAGCGGGTGCCAGTAACGTATCTATTCCTCCGTGTAGCGAGCAAGAGTAGTCCAGTAGATGGTTCTCTCCTTCGCAAATACGTGAGATTCCAGGGCTTAGTATGTTGTGCAATACAAATGATATACAATGTTTTGGCANTACAATGGCTTGCGGTGACCAGCCGATGTACAAGTCAGTGCTTTTATCCACCCAGACGGATCAGGTACCAATTGACCCACCTCAGTAGGGTGAAAGGCTTGATTGGCCTAGGCGGATATTGACCCGGGGTTTGAACCCGTGCAGTGCGAGTGTCGTGGTAGCGCGTCACATGCCAATACCGCTTGCCTCACCGTTGTATAATATAATGTTCTATAAAGTGGCTCAGCAACTAACAATATTGTCTTTTTAAACTTCTGATTTCCGAGAATTTCCGAATCCTTCTAGAATGTCCGGATCTGTGAATATATCACTTATTTCAGAATATTCTGGCCCAAAATGAGGAAAATATGCAAGTGATGGAATTGTTCAAGAATTGGGAGGTGGATCCGTTCGTGAAAGAGCTGTGCATGAAGCGGGCGTGAGTTTCCACGACAGTCACTCGCCACACACATTCTGTACCTCTTTGTTTTGGTCTACCTCCTCAGTTACTTTGATGTCTCGTTTATGGGATACTGTGTCTAGCTGATCTCTGAACAACTGCTATTCCACGCGTCCATGTTGCGTTCAAAATCTCATTGAATCGAACCGTTCCAAGTCGATATTACTTCTATTTTGTCACTTTGTATCAGTAACAGTACCCAGTGAATAGCAGTATTTCTCATATGTACACACTCCTTTCAGAAAGAACCCATATTTGTCTGATATTTGTGTATTTTTGAATTCTTTTCGAATTTTGAAGAGTTCTATCCAAGTAATCCACGCTAGTATCACGTATTCCAGTAATAATGTGATGATCAGGAGCAGGTAGTTACTTTCGCAATCCCATTGAGGGGATTTGATAAGGGTTAAGGTTCTCCTTATGGTTTGGGTGGAGTGTCGAAGAATGCCAATACATCAGATTCTGTTGTACGGTAGGCAAGTTTTGTAACCGAATTCAATGAAAGATTCATGGGCCAAACGACACATCAACTTTTCATTGTTCAATTAAAGACATCTGGAGAACATAGGGATAAATTAATGGGGGTTCCCATTGATTTTAGGTGACGAGATGTTGTTTCAAGTGTCACTGTGTAGGTTCGTAGATATGGGGTGCATTGAATCGATGGCGCGCTAACCCCTGGACTGGTGCCCCCTACCACCTTTCACCCGGTTTATCACTTCAGTTACGTATTGATTATCCATCTTAGCCTACGTGTTTTGTAAGTGTTAGCAGATAGTGGCTTGGGTGAGGTAAATTGGTGACCGTCTGTCATGGCTGCTAGACAATCCCACCTGTACTTGCAATGTGCGCCCTGCCCTCAGTGCATGACTCGTTTTGACAACAATGATTTAGATAGAGAATAATGATTAGTCTGTTCCAGTAGTGATAAGTAGTAGAATTTTCACCCTTACCCTATGACAGTACTGTTAGATATATATTGTAAGTAGTCAAATGACGGATACATTGACGCTTCAGGGATTTAGCAACGGCGCGCCAGTATATATGCATACATCTTTATACTAATAAGATTACGTCATATATTAACGTTCTTCAGACGGATTTGTACTGTATTACTTTGAGTCTGAATTCTCGCTGTTTTGAAATTACATTTGAGGGCCGCACTTATTTCCACTTACGGTAGCAGTCTGTAGTTGCGTATAACATCACCAGAACATAGGCTGCTTTCATAGTCCGCCGGCCGGCCGGTGCGCTCGCTCGCCAGCCGGCGGACTATGAAAGGAGCCGTGCAGGGGTACCTCGCCACGAAAATGACGCACCAAACTACCCGTCTCATATACGACACATCCAAAAATTTCTTGGGCAGGTGCACGAAGTGGTGATTGGAGCAAGTGCGGGCAGCTACTATGAGTATATTTAAGTAAAACCTTGTTCCAGTAGTTAGACATCAGTCATTGAGGTGTAGAGGTATTGATCGATCGTTTGATCTAGTTTCACAGATGTATGCCTTTGTCTTTTACTGGCAAATGCACTCTGACTGTTCGAGATCGTTTTGCTTTTATTGTGCCAACTTGTCTGTCACGAATACCGGTAATCTTATTATATATTGTTTTCACTGTTGACTAAACGGTCACAGGGATTAGATATTAAGGTTATACATCGTTTCCTGTGTGTGTATGCGTGCAATTCCCGTTGTGAAAAAGTTCGATATATATATAGTATGTGTAATCAGTATACACACAGCACTCGGTGATGAAACCCCACCCCTCGTTTACCAGTTTACCTTCACTCGGTATTGATTCGTCTCGTTCTACCTCTGTTATGTACCTTATCATTGTATTCATTGTTTAGTTACGAAGGGCTTCCCTTTGTGATGTGTTGACGGTTTCCCGCCGGTGTACAAATGAAGATTTGTCTTTTTTTTTTTGGAGCATTGTCACGAACGAACCTTAACAGTTGGACAAGAGGAATCCTAGCATTACTTTCACGACAATTTATCCAAAAATTAATATAATATTGGTGGGGAGGGTATGGGGAGGTGAAAGGGTAGCTTGAGGGGGACACCTAACTGTCCGCTGCGTTTCTAATACTAATTGTTAGGGTCAGGGAAAGATAAAGTGTTGGCTTGGCGGACAGCTAGGGATGCTTAGAATGATTTTGTGTAGGGGATGGGACCTTTGACTTGGGCCCAGATAGGGGAGAAGCACAGAGAGATCTGAAATGCTTACTCAATGTGAAAAGTTGG